AAACGATGTCGTTGCATATTTCCATTTATTAGGCGACAAATATATTTTTGTCTGGAAAGGATAAGTTATGGAAGACGAAAATATTTCATCACCATTAAACATTCCATCACGCAGACAACGTCATTTCATCTTTCTATTAAATAGGCGACAAATATATTTGTCTCAAAAGAATAAGCTGTGGGTGACGAAAATATTTCGTCGTTAATAAATTCTAATTGATTGCGTGACGAATATATTTTTCGTCTCATAAGGTTAAGTTGTGGAAGACAAAAATATTTCATCACCAATAATAAATTCTTTGTTCTAGTATTTAAGGATACAAAAATATTTTATTACTAATCATTTCTCTTTTGTGTTTTAAAGCATTGAAACTGTGACCCCAAGAGATACACTCTGACGCTTATCACTCATTTTCATGTACACAGACCTTGAAGTCGTGACCCAAGAAGACCCTTTCTACAAACCCTCATTTCTCTCTCGCACTTGAGTCTACTTCTCTCTCACAAGTATTGAAGTCGTGACTCAAGAAGACACTCTGTAAACCATTTCTTCTATTTCGCGCTAAAGCCCCTCTCTTCTATCTCACACTTAAGCCCTTTGTACATGCCAGCATTGAAGCTATTATCCAAGAAGACACCCTATGCAAACCCACTATTCTTTCTCACAGTGAAGGCCCCTCTTGCACGCAAGCAGTTTTTTTCATTGTCTGAACCAACTCTATCCTTTCTGTCTAAAACACCAATTTTAGAAAAATCGAAGGTCAAAACCTCTCTCCACAAAAAAAAAAAAGAAAAGATAATTAATGAAGATATTTTTTTTTGTGAGAAAAAATACAAAGAAACAAATAATATAAAATTTGTAATTTTCAAAATTAATAGAAAACATTACCTTGTTTAGTATGGAGTTTTAAATAATTAATTTTTAAAATTTGGTGATAAAATTTATTTTCGTTTTAGAATGTAACCCAAACATGACCAAATATTACTTTTGTTGTTTCTTTTAATTGTTTTCAAAACTATAGGAGACAAAAAAATAAATTTGTCAGAAAAAAAAGAGGCACCAATTTTTTTTCTTATTGGCGCCAATTATTTTAGCTCATTGGAGACGAACATTTTTGTCACAAAATTTAAAGTCCTTTGTGACAAAAGGAATTCATCACCAATAAATTCCAAACTTATTAGACGATGTCGTTTCATTTTCTTATTTATTTGGTGACAAATATATTTTTTGTCCGTAAAATATTTTTGTCTCCTTAAATAACAAGAATAGAGAATTTATTATTGTGAGAAATATTTTTGTCTTCCACAACATACATTATGGGACGAAAAATATATTCGTCGCTGCAATCAATCAGAATTTATTAGTGACGAAATATTTTCATCTCCACAACTTATTCTTCCAAGACAAAAATATATTTGCCGTCCATTTAATAGAAAGATGAAAACGGCATTGTTGCATTATGAAGTGTTTATTGGTGACGAAATATTTTCGTCTTCCCATAACTTATCATTCCTAGACAAAAATATATTTGTCGCCTAATAAATGGAAATATGCAATGAC